ATATAAATTAAATAATTAATTATATATTATATAATTAAAATTATATTAGTATAATTAAATTATTTACCATCTACAAATTATAGAATTTTAGGAAATTTTAATTTAGAAACAGGAGTTAACAAAAGGCATTATCATGTTAGTGCAAAAAAAATTAGAGAATTTACCAAGCAAAACTTGCATTTGTTCATTATCACTAAACGAAATGTACATTAAAAAAGAGTTAATTTATGATAAAAACAGAAATAGTTTTAGGATATGAAGATAATGGCATCAATAGATCTAAAATTATGGCACATCAGGCTATAGTGATTATGATTAGCAGTATTTATTTTAATTGAAAGCAAGTTTTAGGATATTTACTAACCTCTTATTCTACCACATCAAATGATATCAAGGATATTCTTTTTGAGTGGTTAGATGAATTACAAAAAAATTAACATTCAGGTGGTTAATATAGTATTAAATCAAGGTACTGTACTTTAAATAGAGTGTTAGTTGAGAAAACTCTTAATACAACATCTGATTTAACCTTTTATTTTAAGGAATGGATCCAAGATTTTTTAATATGATATGACTCATTTAATAAAAAGTCTATTAAAGTAAAAATTTCTTCTTAATTTGTCAGATATAAACCCAAATAAATTAGAAAAACTAACAGAATTGCCAAATACTATTGAAAAAATAATATATTTAATATAATAAATAATGAATTGGAATCAATAGACAAACAGTGTATTGCATATATTGCATGTTGGCTAGCTAAAAAAATTCTGAGTAAACACAAAGATTGCAAAAAATGTTATAAGTGATTGTGCGAATTTTCTATCAAGTGACCAAGTGTTTTTGTTTCTTAAAGATTTAGATAGTAGAGAAAGTGGATGTATTAAAAAATTAACTGTACCTACAACTAATTGCATAAATGCCTTATATACGTGGGGGGACCCAAAAAAAACTAGATTTTTTGTATAAAAACTTTATTTTATTAACTTTTTTACAAAATTTCTTCAAAGTACTCTCTATTAGATGCAATGCACTTGTGAAGTCTTTTTCCCCATTGTTTGAAGCATCTCTGGAACTCTTCAACCTTGATATCGTCCAGTGCCCTTAGCAAAGCTGTTTTTACCACCTCCACATCATCAAAACGCTTCCCTTTTAGATTTTTCTTCATTCTCGGAAACAGAAAAAAGTTGCTTGGGGCTAGGTCTGGTGAATACGAAGGGTGGGGAACAACAAACCATCCCCGAGAGGCCAAATAGTGGGTCACTCGTAAGGCCGTGTGTGTGGGGGCGTTGTCATGATGAAGGAACCAGTCACTTGCTTGCCAAAGTTCTGGACGTTTCCTTCGCACATCCTCTCACAGACATCTTAACACTTTTTTTGGTGGATTTTTTCAACATTTTCATCGTTTCGCGATGTTGAAGGACTCCCAGAACTTCACAGGCGGAACAAAATAACAGTAAGAGAAACACAACACTACGCTCAAATGTAAACCTACAAACTGACGCCGTTTGCACAGCTGTTTCGTGAAGGTCTCTACTAACCCCACATAATGGGAAAACTCTTTACTTCATCTACGAATGGCAGCACGCTCTCAGTTCGGTTGTTTTTGGGTCTCAGTCGTACATGTAAAAAAATTTGTAGTAAATGTCTATTAAAAATTTTACATTTGCATAATATTAGTAGTAGTTTATTAGACTTTTGTTTATCATACATTAATAGGGATTGGCTTACAGGATATAGATATATTTAAAAAGAAATTGTCTGGAATAATTCTGTAATATAAGAACTTTTCATTTCGTTAAAGCAATTAAGTAAAAATAAAGTTTAAGTTAAACTTTCATTTTTATTTTTTAATTATTGTCTTTTTATTCGTCTTTCATTATTATAGTTTGAATTTAAAAAATCTCCAGTAGCCAATATAATCAATAGCAATTTTATTACTTTACCACAGTTGCCATAAGATGGTGCTAGTTGTGGAGCACAGTCAGTCTGCCATAGTCATGTCTCATCTGGGTGTTAATCTGTGACACTAATCTTTATCATCTAAGTACATTAGGCACCATCTCTTATCTAAATTATTAATTTAGATATGATGGTGCCTAACGTCTACCTCTAGTATCAAATTACTTAATTTCTAATTATTAAATATAGCATATTAATAGCCCAATTAATTATGGCAATTGTTTGGCTTATTTTCTACAAACAACAAAATTCTCCTGTAATTACTAAATCTGGGTAACTGTATGAGTTAACAACAGTAACTGTTTCACTTCACTAGTGTAAAAGGAAAAAAAGACCATTTTTTGTACTCTATTTGTATGGAACCTATGTCCAGGGCTTCAGAGGACACACTTCCTTGGGGCCTGGAGTATATATGTAAAGCTTGCCGACTGTGTGCAATTCTCAGGACGATCAAGGGGTTGAGACAATCATGTATGGGTGTGAAATATACACTGAGACAGGCTTACAATTAACTTTTTCCTGTTTAATAAAATATAAAAAATATTCTTACAAAATTTTCTATATTCTTGTCATTACAATTCTCCTTTGATATTTCTTTTTAAGAAGAATGTCCAATAAAAGTCTGAGTGTCATATTGAAAGTCTACACTTGGTCCATCATTGATGGTGTTTTGAGGGATCTAAGGGGCTGGGGATTTTTGTTAATTAAGCACAGACCTTGGAGAGAGGGAGACTCTTGGAGAATGAATGGTTCTGGCAGAAAGAATAATGGAACTTATAGAATGAACAGCAGATCTTGGAGGAAGGACAAATTTTAGAGGATGACCAGCTCTCAGAGAAAAAGAACAAATACTGGAGCAAAGAATGTCATTCCTTCAAACATGAGTTTTTAAAGGGTTTTTCTCCTCTATTCTGTGTTCTAATTGTCACCAGGAGACAAGGGGTCTTCCCTTGGCTCCTGGTGACAATTCTAAACCTTTCAGGGCACGAGAGAGAGAGAGGTTGTTATCAACACTTAATCCAATCCTGATAGGCTAAAATTCTTCCAAACTTTGAATTCTCCCCTGTAATTCCAGCCTTTTATTTCTATCCTTTTTGACAGAAAGAACTTTTATTATTTTTATGAGACTTTAAGTCTAGCTTTGAATTTAATTTTGAAAGATGAGAGTTTAACTGTCCCACTGCATATTCATCATCATTAACATAAAATTTCAATTTCCATCCAGGACTTCACATATAAGGCAGATCAATTGGTATAGACAGCATCAACTGCCTTGACTATTTGAGAGTCAAAGAATAATTTTAATTCTGAAAAGAACTATTTACAGAATTTTTAATAATGATAATATACTATTCACTGTAGTAAATTAGCTGTATTACTTAGTCACTTTTAACAGTACAATTTTTACAAAAGAGCACTAATGTTTTTGATTATCCATGTTTGAGAATGGCTTGTTGATCGAGGTTAAAAATGTTACTGCTCTTTTTTAAAACTCCTGTTAAAGGTGCATTAACTAATTTAGCTATTTTAAGTATTAAAAATGTTCTAGGCTATAAAGAAATATATTACAAACCTTTAATATTACTTCAAAACAAAGTAAAATAACAATCACCAATTCAATATAATAACAATATTTGGATTTCTGAAAAACATTTAAATGTATAATACATAATATGAAACAATTTATAATAATTATCAATTGAAGCCAATTGTAAATAGTTGTAAGTTCTGTAATAAATTTTAGAGTAAATATGTTTCCAAAAGCAAATAAATGTAATTTTTGATATTCTGTTTCATCCTGTTTCCATTCTAATAAATTCTTATCTGACATATCTTTAAATAATCTATTAAAAGTTTCTTTCTGAAAAATAATATATTGAATTATTTATTTCAATTCTTCAATGTATAACATTCTTTATTAACACACTTACCAAAAAAAGAAACAAATGAATATTTCTTAAAGACATTATATTTTTTACATCAATTGGATTCACATAACTATAAATATAAATATTGTGAATTTTAAATGTATTGTGTAATTAATAATTAAAATAAGAGCATATGTATAGATATTGTAAATAATATCATACAAAATATAAATAACATTTACATTAAAATATTTGGATCGAAATAAAAAAGAATAATGATTTTGAGATGTTTAAAAATATCTCAAAATAGAAATAAACTGAAAAATATGTCTACTAGAATTTTGAATTGTATTAATAGATAAAAATATTTGGAAAAAATTTTGTTGGTGAGCAAATATTTGTAAAATGTTAGAAATTACTTTAATATCCCAAGACAAAAATAACTAAATTATTATTTTTTCTTTAAAAAAAACAATCAGATATAATTTAACTATATTTATAACTTTTCCAAGATCATTGAAACCAAATAATTTTAATGATATATTCTAATTTATATTAACAAACAGTCGATAAAATAATGTACCATTTCACATAAAGTTTTTCCTAAAACAAATTTTAATATATTTAGCTTTGACATCTAAATTCTTATATTAAAATCAAAAAATTTAACAGATAAACACGATTTTCTAATAAATGTTATTGATTAGGTTAGTAATTGCTGCAAATGTTCAATGGTGCAACAATAAGGGGTTTCCATTTCCCCCCTCTCTTTTTCACATTTTTTTGTTTGAGCTAGGGGTGCTCAAACAAAAAATATGGAAAAGGAAGGGGAAAAATGGAATATAATAGAAATTTTATTTTATTCATAAATCCACAAAACAATTTTTATCAACAAAAAAAGTTTCATTAATTCTGCATAACTAATAAAGCAAAAATTAAATTAAATCATTCCATTCAATTAATCTACTGTGTATCAATTTAACTCTCTGAAATACACCCTGTTGGCACTACTGAATATGTTTTTCTAAAAGTCTAATAGAATATAGAAGAAAATATTTATTAACAAGATCAATTCATCTCAAAAAACACACAGTAAAAAATTCTGATGAGTTTAATTTTTATCTGTATGAATTACAGCAACTTTATATTTTAAGAGACTGTTTATATTATGCAACACAATTTTCTAAAATTACTTTTTAAAAAATGATAAAACTTATACTGAGTTAATATCAAATAAATCACTGTATCTATGTGTAATAAAAAAATGTTTCCATTTTCATATTTTCAATTAAGGTCTTTATCATATATCATAAACTTTATTATTATACAAAATATCTTCTGTAAATTAAAAANAGTTCACACTACAATCAGTGTTGCTGAATCATTGTCTCACTGCACCAGAAGTGACACAAAGCGCAACTCACGAAATCTATGACACAAAGTGTGCCATTTTCAAACTCTCACAAATTATTTTCAATATTTTGCATTAAAATCTTGTGACCCCAAGATTTCGCTAAGCGACCCCAAATGGGGTCGTGACCCATAGTTTAAGAAGCCCTGGTATAAATCATTAATATCCCAATTTTGTGTTTTGTGGTGTATAAAAATTGTAATTGTTCATTGCGAATGGTCAGGTATCTTGGATAACTGCCAGAAACAGTGCCGGCCCGAGGTAAGTTTTAGGATGGAGCAAGATCCTATTATGGCGCCCCCCTTGGTTGCCCCTAATTTATACCAGTGATGCATGCAAGCAGGGCCGTGCTGTAGATTTCCTCAGTATGATGCAAGTCTTTGAAATGCCGCCCCTTAAATTTTTTTCTCTAAAATACCTTCGGTTGTGATTTAAAAAAACTGCACAAATTGTACGAATACTATTTTTACTTTAAAAATAAAAATTACTTTAAAATAATGATATCAAGTATCAACTACAAGAATCTACTAGAGTTTTACCCTTCTAACTTTAACTTTACCAAAATTCGTTAATTAGGGAATCGTAATCTAGAGTGGCAGCCAATGTAGATTCAATAGAAATTAATGATAAATTTGTTTTGTTTGGCTTATTGAACTTCTTAAGTAGCGTTTTATTAATCTTAATTTGGAAAAACTTTCCATTTTAGTGGGGGACGTCATGAAAATGCACACTAAAAAGGATTTTTGGAAATTTCAACCCCCCTCGAGGGAAGAGGAGGAGAGAGTCAATTTTAGTCGGTATAAAGTGTAAATAATAAACAAAGAAAGTAAATAGTGACATATATAGTATACATTTTGGCAATTAATAAATATTTTAATAATTTCCATCTTTTGGGCAACCCAAAAACAATAAATAGAAAATTCGAAATATTGAATTGGAAATATATAACAAGTTTTTTTTTAGATTTTAGAATTTAAAATCTACCATATAATTCAAGTAAAGCAAGCAAGTAAGTTAATTCTCCATTATAGTCTAATGAAAATTTTTTATTTT